CATGCTTCCATGTCTCGGGCTCGTTTGGGTTCGTTTGGACTCAGAATCTGATTCTGCTTTTTTCTGTGTGTTCCTAACGAACTCTTCTATTTAATTATGCATGCTCAACTTATTTCCGCCTGAAATCCAATCCTCTTGAGGCTTTCGACCTACACACTATAAACAAAACAGAAAATGCACAAAAAACCAAAATAGCACAAAACACACAATAAACACTAAAACGAGCTAAAAAACGACGAAAAGACCTAACATGAGGGAAAAAGAAAGACAAAACAATAAAGAAAAACGCAACAAAAAAGGAACAAACAATGCCTCTCAGGGGTACCACCAAATACCTCTCGCCGAGGAGGACCAGAAGAGGGTTAGCTTTGTTACATCCAAGGGCACCTATTGCTACATCGTCATGCCTTTCAGATTGAAGAATGCAGGAGCCACTTATCAACGGTTGGTGGATAAAATGTTCAAAGGCCAGATTGGTCGAAATATAGAGGTCTACGTCGATGACATGCTAGTAAAGAGCAGGAAGGCGGATGATCATGTGGTAGACTTACGCGAGACCTTGAGCACCCTACGGCGATACAGTATGAAGCTCAACCCGGCTAAGTGCAAGTTTGGGGTGAGGTCATGAAAATTTCTGGGCTACCTGGTGACAGAGAGGGGCATAGAAGTCAATACAGAGAAGGTACGAGCTGTTATGGAGATGCAAGCACCAAGGAACTTGAGGGAGGTGCAAATTCTAACCGGATGCTTAGCGGGGCTGAGCAGGTCATAGCTCAATCCGCAGAAAAGAGTTTTCCATTTTTTAAGGCCTTGAAGAAGGGGTCGCATTTCGAGTGGACGTCGCAAGCACAACATGCCTTTGAGAGGTTGAAAGAGTTCGTAGCTGAGCTTCTCTTACTAACAAAACCAGAGCCAGATGACACAATAGTCATATACCTATTGGTGGGGCAAGAGGCCATTAGTTCAGTATTGATAAAGGAGGAGCATGGGCAGCAGAAATCGATATATTATGCAAGTCGGATATTACAAGGGGCCGAGCGTCGATACTCAGATGTGGAGAAGGCCGCCTTGGCACTCATCTCCACTGCTCGAAAATTACGCCCCTACTTTCTAGCACATAAGGTCATGGTGCGGACCAACTACCCGCTTAAAGATACTTTAGGTCATCCTTCGGCCTCGGGGAGGATGGTGAAGTGGGCAGTCAAGCTAGGTGAATATAATGTTGACTTTGAAGTGCGGAAAGCTATTAAGGCTCAGACATTGGCTGTCTTCATACAAGAGTGCACATTGGGAGATGAGAATGGACCATGGATGGTGTATATCGACGGCTCATCGGCCGTAGGAGGAGCAGGTCTCGGCATCTTGGTGGTCACACCCGAGAACGATCATTTAGAATTCACGGTGAAGCTCTCATTTAGCGTGTCGAACAATGAAGCAGAGTACGAAGCTCTCATTAAGGGAATTTAGCTCGTCCTAAAGGAAGGAGCTCGGCAGGTGATCATTCACTCAGATTCTCAGCTTGTGATCGAACAGGTCCGGGGTGAGTATGAAGCTAAGGAAGAGCGCATGAGGAAGTATCTGGTCGAGGTCCAGGCGATGCTAAAAGGATTCGCGACATGGGAGTTGATATAAATACCGCGGGGAGAAAATGGTATGATCGACCTACTCTCGAAGGTGGCCGCATCACTTGTTGATTGTCGATCTAGGTCGGTGACACTAATGGATATGACTAGGAGTACCTTAGACCAGGTGCTAGAGGTTGAAGAGCAAAGGGATTGGAGGTCACCCTTAATATAATGGTTGCAGAAGCCGGTGGCAGGAAAAGATATCAGGGACTACCCAATTGGATAGAGAGCATTGAGGTTCTACCTGCAAAATGGGATCCTATATAAGCGATCGTACATAGGGCCTCATCTGAGATGTGTCTTGGAGCAGGACGGAGAGTACATACTCAAAGAGGTGCCTGAAGAATGTTGCGGCGACCACCTGAAGGCTAGGGCGTTGGTCGGGAAGGTGCTTCGGGCTGGATACTTCTGGCCTAAGATGAGGACGATGACACAGGACGTTGTGCGAAAATGCAAGAGGTGCCAGCAGCATGGTCCATTGATCCATAAAGCAGCCGAGAACATGGTCCCAATTAGCTCGCCCCTACCTTTTACTCAGTGGGGGGTTGACATAGTTGGACCTTTGCCCCAGGCGATGGCCCAACGAAAGTTCCTCATTATGGCAGTGGATTACTTCTCTAAGTGGATTGAGGTCGAGCCCTTGGCGACGATCACAAAGAAATGGTGATGAAGTTTCTTTTCAACAACATCTGTTGTCGGTACGGCATCCCTTGAGTGCTTATATCTGATAATGACACTCAGTTCAGAGGTCGGCGCACGATGAGTTGGTGCGAGGAGATGGGCATCAAATAGAAATTTGCTTCGGTCGCCCACCCCCAAGCGAATGGGTAGGCTGAGGTCACGAATAGATCATTTCTAAATGGGTTGAAGGCGAGATTGGAGAAAGCTTCAGGAGCTTGGGTGGACGAACTTGATTCGGTGCTGTGGTCATATCGAACAACACCGCGGATCTCAACGGGGGAGACACCGTTCAGTCTAGTTTATGGTATGGAGGTCGTCATCCCAGTGGAGGTCGGC